TTTCCTAACCAGAATGAGGTCGTACCAACCAGCGATAAAAATGTGGCATTGCCTCTACTTGGGCGGGGAACTAGCCAGACTTATACTTCTTTCAGTAGAATGCTTTAACAAATTCCACGTTTCGCGAATCCCCCACCCATGTCTTAGTGTCAAAAAGAACTTAATCAAGACGCTAAAAAACTGCAGTCTCACGTAAACATTGACAAGCATGTTGGCGCATTTTGATAACAGTTAAGGAAGGATTTAATATCAAAATGAATGCATACTATACTTTTAGGTCACGTCCTCATTCTAATCACCGGCATTGACAAATTGCAATGCCAGCATTCGACCTTGATAATAGCCAATGAGAGAAGGGCACAAGAGAAAATTAGCCAATCAAAGTAAGGCTATTTGAATCAGCAAATCAATGGCTAGTTCGTCTCCTTATTATCCCGTCGAGTGAGGCGTGCTGCCAGGTGCCATATTTTCTCCTCCACCGTCTGGTGCGCAACTCCTGTCGTGCCTTAGCTCTGCCGGTTTTTGTATTTGCATCTGGCGACCCGGGCGAGATCTACTGAAATGGCTGACCCCTACACCACAGAGACAATTCATGTTCAAGAAAGTTTTGAGGAGAGGGTGCGCCGTGTCCAACATGAGATTGCCGACAAAATGCGTTTATTCAACAGACCATTGGTACGGGGCTGTATTGGCGAGTTCCTGGGCACCGCCATCCTGATGATACTTGGCAACGGAGTTCTAGCTCAAGTCTTTCTGGGCGATCACGATAGGAAGATGCATGGCAATTTCTTCTCAATCAGCTTCGGTTGGGGAATGGCTGTCATGATGGGAGTGTTTTTTGCTGGCCGCCTTGGCCATGGCATCATCAACCCTGCTGTATCTGTAGCCTTCGGACTTGTCGGCAGACTGCCTTTAAACCGAGTTCTCTGGTATTGTCTGGCAGAATTTGCCGGCGCCTTTTTCGGGTCACTTTTGGTTTTCGGGACATACACTGAATTAATATACAAGTACGCCAATTTGAAGGATAACGGAACGCTTAAGGTGAATACAACGGGGGGAATCTTCGTCACTAACCCCGGAGCAAGCACGGCTGCGTGTCTTTTTGATCAGGTTATCGGCACTGCTTTGTTGGCAGCTGGCGCTTTGAGCATAACCGATAAATCCTGGGAAATGCCAGACTACTTACATCCTCCTGTGATAGGTCTCTATGTTGTTGCTCTTGTCGGTGCGTTTGCTTTGAACGCTGGAGCCGCGCTGAATCCTGCTAGAGATCTGGGTCCTCGAATTATGATTTCTTTATTCGGTAAGTGATTGACAGCATTAGAATGATGGCCTGGAAACTATGACTTAGTGACTGGCTAAGGCCCATGCCTGCCATATTGTTCGAAGATTCTTTTTAATTGCTTCGATCCACTATTTCAGGTACTGTCATTGGTAAGCAGAGGAATTTTTGAATGAACAAGCTAAAGATGGCTTAATGTTGGTGCCAGCATTCAACCAAATTGGTAAACTATTCTGTTTCCCCTCTTTTTTGTCTATCCTGACTATTCATTCCTAGAAAAACGATTTAGCCTCTAGTATGGCTGCGGTATCCTTTCATTGTATGCAAGCGATTTGACATTGTTTTCTCAAATTGTTCGTATTATCAGGGGCCTAGGTGGACGTAGCTTGTCCAGCTTCCTCTGCCGTAGTATAAATCATGATTTCCAGGGTTCGACCATCTAACCGTCCCTTTGACGTGTTCTAGTATGGTACTAAGAATGCCGTAGGCAAATGGCGGTGCCGGCTACGGTGCAGGAGAAAAGTCCGGGAGTGTAGAAGGTTTACAGCCCAATATGGACTCTGAGCAAGGTGCGTTCATTCGTATCCTCCTAAAAATAGGACCGAGTTTCGAAGACAAGGCCAAAATGTTAATGTTTATTTTTATTCATAGTCAACATGCTTCTCTTGCTGCTAGCTTGCTTATCAATTATTTATCATACAAGAGATTGATTCATTCGTGTAACTTTTACAGATCTTCTCCGGAATGTTTGTTACTTAGGCCACAAGCCCTAAATGGTGTTAATACCAGTATGAAAAAGGGTAACTTCTCTGCTCCAGTCTAGTATGATTGCTGAGTTTTTAGGTGTATCACTAAATGGATGCTTGCAATCTTGCTGAAGCCTCAATAAAACTTGATATCACATCTTAGGGGACCCTTACAGACGTGACATTTAGTCAAATGGTAATTCATTGCTTCCTGTTGTTTAGGTTTGTTATTGTTGGTGTTATTGGTATGATGAAAGTTAACATTTTAATAATATGAGATGTATTCACCCTATTTCGTCTAAGGTTATGAAGGACTGGTAGTAGAATTTTCCCACAATG